ATATCTTGAATTTTGCACTGCTCTCTAATGTTTGTATTTCTCACTCTGTCCCTTCTTGTTTTCCCCATTATTGTTCTTAGGGTTTTCATTTCGGCAACCCTTAGCATCTGTTTCGTTTTGTTGGTATCTTCGCGCACTTCTATGCCATATGTCATGATCGGTCGTATGCAAGTCTTATAGATTCTAATTTTACTATCTGTGCGCATATACGGATTAGACCAGACTATCTCCCGCAGACATCCTGACAGTGCAGATGCTTTGTTGATCTGACTCCTCAGGTCCTTTACTGGGTCATGGGTGCTTGATATATCTATGCCCAGATATCTGAATTGCATCACCTGTTCTATGGGGTTGTCCTCAACCACTAACTTACATCTGAGCGGATCTTTTGCTATTGTCATACATTTAGTTTTGTTGGTAGAGATGTTCATATTTAATAGTCGGCTTGTTTGAAAGAACTGAAAGAGCTGCCTTTGGAGATCATCTTCTGATTCGGCAATAATTGCTGCATCGTCTGCGTAGCACACCATACCAATTCTTTTGTTGCCCATTCTATATCCGAGATTAAGAGATGTTACTTTGTTGATAATTTTGCCCATGAGAAGATTAAACAAGAAGGGGCTTAAACTGTCGCCTTGTCTAATTCCTCCCGGTGTTGGAATATTTTCAGTGAATTCGTCTCCTGCTCTAACTTTGGTTACGTTGTTGTTATTTAGGTTATGGAGTATCTTTGTTATACTGGTCGGTGTTTCATTTTCTATTAATATATTTAGAATGTCTCCCAGGCGAACTCTGTCAAATGCCTTCGTCAAATCAATGAAGCAAATATACGCTGGCATGCCGAACTCTATAGCTTTTTCTTTTATTTGTTTTATTACAAATACTGCGTCTATTATAGACCGCCCTTTTGTAAAACCTTGTTGTTCTTCAGCATTAGTGATTTGCTTTTCCAATTTGTCCTTGAGAATACCCGTGAAAAGTTTCATTGTTGTATTTAAGAGGGTTATTCCTCTATAGTTTTGTGGGCAGGTTTTTTGTCCTTTTTTAAATATGGGGATTGTGATACTATTATGCCATTCCTCTGGTGTTTCTGTTTTGTTTAATATTTTGTTAAATAGTTGTGCCAGTTTACTTGCAAGTTCCGGGCCTCCATATTTTAAAAGTTCATTGGGTATACCATCCGTTCCCGGTGATTTTCTGTTTTTTAGCTTTTTGATCTTTGCTTCTACTTCTTCGTCATTGATTGTAGCACTCACATCTGTTTCGCCTTCGTTTATATTCAGCGTTTCTTCAGCATCATATAGCTCTTTAAAATGTTGTTGCCATGTTTCTATAGGTACTCCTTTGGTCTGCACGAACTCGTTAACTGGTTTTTTCCTGTTGCGGAGCATTTTCCATACTTTCTTTTGGGCACCATATAGGTCGTAGTCCATGTCGCAAGTGAATTTGGCCCAATGTTCTCTTTTGATTGATTTTATTCTGGCGTTTACTTCGTTTCTTATTTGGACATATTCTGCATGAGCTTCTTCCGATTGCGTGCTTTTATATTTCAGGTAGCATTTGCGTTTTACCTCTTTTACCTCTTGGCAAAACCACGGTTTGGTGTGGTTTGTCGCTCTCGTGTTAATTTTCCGCTTACCAATCGCTTCTTCTGCTGCTTCGTTGATGCATTTCTTAATTTTTTGCCAAGTATCTTCTACTCCCCATTCGGGTTTTAAGTCGATCTCTTTTAGTTTGATGGTAATCCTGTTCTCATAGAGCAGTTTTGTACTCTCTGTTGCTAGCGACTCTATATTATGTTTTTCGATGAACATTGGGGGTTTTCTGTTTCGTTGCGGACGTTCTAGTAGCATCTTGCATAAAACAAGGTTATGATCAGTCCCCAGGTTAGCAGATGTTAGTGCTCTGACATCAAGTACTTGTGACGGAGTTATCGCTCGATTTGTGATTATAAAATCTATCATTGATCGCTGGCCTCGATTATTGTTAAAAGTGTATTTATGTTGGTTTTTATGAGGAAAGTATGTATTGTTAATTCTCATTTCATTTCTAGCGCAAAAGTCTATTAGTGCTTCGCCGTTTTCATTAATTATTTCTTCGTTGTACTAACAAAAAAAGTAACAATAAGAATAACAGCATAATTTTAATAATTTATTATGGAGTTACAAAGTTCATTGTAATTCAATGTAAGAAAATTAAAACTAGTAGTAAGAAACTAAAATTGTATCCAAAAATAAAAAAAATATAATTTTTGTTATCAAAAAATATCGGCAATACTACTTCTATTATTCTGATACATTCTCCTCTTCTTGAGGTTCATCTGGAAAGTATTCCACTATTTTATTGTCATCTGCAGTTATTTGTTCAATGAAATTATTGTAATATGTTCGATTTGTATTAGCTATGTACGGTAAAAGTGCCTTTAAGTCCCTTAGTTTTTCTCTGCTTAAACGAAGTGGTTCGTTGTTAAGTGGTAGAAGTGTAGGAAGATGATCACACTGCCTTGTTTTCGTGTGACTTCTGGATATATCCAACGTTTTGAACTCACCATCAAACGAGTGTTTATACAAGATAGCTAGGGTGTCGGTTGAATATTGCATCCATTTAATTTGCAACCACTGAACTGGTTCGTTTAGAGTGTTCTTTTTACGATGCACATAATGAGTATTTAAACATGATTTAAAATTTAAAAACTCCTTTTGTTCCAATTCTATTACTTGTATAGGTGGTTTTCTTGGCACCAAACGTATCAAGTTTGCCCAATCTCGAGGCAATTCAATATCCGCAGTAGTACGTTTTTTTGTTTTTTCTATTGCGGCATGAATGCTGTCTGCCTCCATATGAGTATGACCACTCTCAAGAAATTTGTGGTTAATAGTCAAGTTTTTACCTTTAGCTTTCAATTCAGAAACAGTTTGCAGTAACATTGTAGCGAAAAATATATTGCGGTTTTGTCCTCCGCAAGAATCGCTGTACATAGTTACTGTATGAATATTATTATTTTCTTCTGTGAGTTTATGCAGGTAATGGTAAATACAGGAACCAATTTCTTGTCCACCTCTGCCAGCCACTGTTTCATTCCAAACGTAACATATGGAAGATGATTGTTTTCCCATGGTTTGATAGATAGTGAGGTTAAACGTCCACAGTTGGCGTTTATAAAAACTCAAACCACTTCTGAGGTAGGGAGTAGGCAAGCATTTTTGTAAATCGAAGGAAATGGTAACGTAACCTGAATTACTGCATTCTTCTTTATCTCTTCGTTTTGACTCGTAGGCGGACTCAGCTAACTGTAAATGGACTGTTTTTTCTTCTTCGATTGACGTTCGTATTGTCTCACTGTTACAACATTTTAACTGCATCTCAAACTTGTCGCATTTTGCACACGTATCATTTTTAGGCTTATGAAAAGAGAGGTTGAATTCCTCAACAAATACTTTTCTATACATCCAGGCATTTTGCGGTTGAATATTTCTGTCTTTACAATAATTGACATACAGTCGGTACATTTCAGCAATAGATAGGTCGGATGACAAGTACTTCTTGTGCGTATGGGAGCGCGAGTAGTGACTTTGGTAAGCCGGGAATTGGTTTATGTGTTCTCTTATCAAGAGTTTATCATTTTCTGGAACCTTAGATTGCTTTCCATGTTTTCCACGTCCATCTTCCGGACATAAACCTCCGGTAGACCGTTTCTTTTCAACAATTACTCGCGCTTTCTTCAAACTTATGTCAAATGTATTTAAAAACATGTTTTGACACACTTCAATTTTCTTACCACTGTTTTGTGATAAAAAATATTTTCTAGTAAACTTTCGCCTACTTTGATTACCATCATTACGTCTTAATCGTTGGAGCTTCTTTTCCTCTTCTTCTATGGAATTTGCTATTAACTGGTTTTGTCCAGAGCTACACAACTGATAAAATCCAGTGAAAAGTCTTTGTCGTTCCTCCTGGGTAAATTTTTCACTGCACTTTTTTTGCATATGCAGGCTGCCTTCAGCTGCTTAGCAGGTATTGTTTTGTTTCCACAGACTGACGTGTACGCTCTACCTTGAGTTTTCAACGATTTTCTTACATTTCTTATCCACTTTGAAGGATTCCGCTTTCGTTTCCTTGTAGCTTCATCTAGTATTTCTTTCTTTCTTCCTCTGCGTGATTGATTTTCAGCAGGACCACTCAATTGTGGATTGTTATCTACTACAGTTATTTTGTTAACATCTTCAAACTGCCCTACTTGGTTTTCGTCAGTGTCATTATCAGAATCTGTTGGTACATATTCATCACCACTATCTTCAAACGGTTCTGGATCACTTAAATCTATATTTCCTATGATTTCATTATCTCTGACTGAGGTCGACTCTGTAAGAAAACGATGAAGGTTAGTAATATAAGTAATATTCAAATGTAATTTTGGTACAACAAATTACTTAAGTAAAATTAACACCGGTCGTATTATTAGCCACGCCACAAAATGTAACCTCAAAATCGCGAGTATTACATTTTAGTGTAATGTTTTAAATTTATCTTATCACTTACCATTACTGTAATCGTCAGTGTTACACATTTTTAAAATCTTTCTTGTCCGTAGATTAACATTCATTTTTTCTTAAAATTCAACTTAAAAACTGAAATTACAATGTACAACTTCTCAACGTGACAATGGCACTACTGATAATGACAGCCGACAACACTGCGGATGCTAAAATGCAGTTATCTCTATCCTTTCACACTACCTAGAAAGACCAATGTAGACAATCGCCAACTGTTTATTTCACAAAATAATAATACTAAAAGGGCCAAAGTTTACTTTGGCCCTTTTAGCTTAACGTTATGTGAATTCATTAATCTTGACATTGGCCACCATTAAACTTATGGATCGGGTATTGGTTGAAATTGACATTGACATAGGCGCTTTTAGCTCCAAGCCACAGATATATTATTATAAATTAATATGATTTATAATTATTTTATAGAAAATAAGAAAATTTTATTTTTAGTCTTCTGATCCTCTACGATTCTCACGAAAACTTATCATGCCAATAACTCCTAACAATCCCAATGATCCACGATCACCATTTTACGATGAAGACGGTGCACCCATGAATCCAATTGCCAAACTACATTTTACTAGGCAACGTGTTTACGAAAAACCTTGCGATTCTAATGAACAAGAAGAATCTTCGGGAGAAGATGCCTGCGCTACTACTAAATGGGGAGATTGGACACCTTGTTCAGTACCCTGTGGTCTCGGAAAGAAAACAAGAATGAGGAGTTATGTAGATATTAGGAAATCGCAGAATTGTTATGTTCAACTAGTACAACATCAGACATGTCAAGGTAAAATACAGTGTGTAACACTTTTTACTAAATTTCAGGAGCTCTAAATTTATTACTGATTATTCCACTATAAACTCCGTAAATCAGGGTGATATGGTGAACAAAAAAGTTGTGAAGTTGTGTAGAAGACAAGAAATTGTTTATTTAAACGAAATAAAAATACACTTCTTTCATAATTATATTGGCAACAACTTAACAGTGTCATAGTTTATTTAAGACATTACAAATGTTTAAAAAAAAAACAATATTTATTTTTATTAAATTCATCATTTTACCCATGCATAAGGGTGAAATGGCGAAGGCACTTGGGGTGAAATTGTAAACTTACTTCTTCTGCTTTTCACCACATATATCACACATGGATTCATATTTTAAAAAGTCTTCGTACAGCTAAAGTTGGCAGTGTTCAATTACAAATTAAACCCTTAATTTGTAATCTCACATTATTCTTAACTTCTTAATCTTTTATAGTTTCACCGTGTATAAGTGAGCCATTGTAAAACCATATCGTATAATATTTTAATAATTAGTTCATTTACCTACAACTAAATAAATTGCCGAATAATATATTTTCTAATTGAACTTCCTAAGTGTCGCAATTAAGGCCTAGATTAAATTGTAATGTAAGCAAAGTTTGTTGGTATGGTATGATACAATACGCAAGCAATAACCTCTGTGCTGAGGTATGAATTATTTGTGAGATTATAAATTGGGGATTTGAGCTCATGTGAGCACAGTTTATTATAAGTAGTTACCTAACCAACATCATATTGTGTAATTACCAGTAGCTGTCAATAAATCAACATTTTTCTGCATAACTTCAACCTTTATTATACTTATCATCGTCGATCGACAAGAAGCGGACAAAGGGGCATTTACAAACGATTCAAACCTCATAACTACGTTCGAATCTTTCCAGCAGCTAATGCATTCGATCCCATACACGTTCTTTTAAGTGTAACTGTACAGCTCACCACACCATATACAAAAATCATTATCGTTCACGTCGTCATCATAGTCTTGCAAGGGGATATCCAGCGATGAGATCCAGACTCATTGGAAAAGAACTTCACCATATCACCCTTGAGTGAGTCTACCATTTCTACCATTTACCATGGATGAAATGGTGAATAGTACAGCAAGAAGTTCACAATGTTAGAGGCAACGATTTCTAGGTTATGTTTATGTGTATATAAATAGTCTAAGAAGGCAGAATATATCCAAAAATACATCGTGGACGTGGCTTCCTATAAGATGCATGATATATAAGCGGGAACATTTGCACAAATATCCGGTTTTTGGGCTGGTTTTCACAACGTGCTCGCTGCATAAATTATAATACACTGTCGACATATAGATTTACAGAGACATCTGTGTACCGGAAAATGAAATAGAGCGTTTCACCATTTCACTCGATTCACCATATCACCCTGAACTATCCATAGTAAAACTCCAGGAGAAATGCGAAGATTTCTTGGTCGGCGAAACCAAAATTCAGAGTTTTGCTTTAATCTGTACCTTCTATAAATTCGAAGGCAAAACAGACGAAGCAAAAATCCTTGGGCACTGGTTTCTTGTACTCATAATGAGTAAACCAAAATAAAAGAAAAGACAGTTAAAATTTATTTCACGTATAGGGCCTCTGTATATTCGCTTATAGGTATTGCGTCTCACCAGAATTCATCAGAGCTACTGTTACAAAAGCTCTAAAAGTGAAATTAAATCTTTACTATGAAAACATGTAATAGAAAAATGGCTTCAATATGGACGCTATAGCGATATCTGTGAATAAAGCACCAAAGTAGAAATGCGAAGATTACAGATTAAAGCAAAAATCTGAATTTTTGACTTGCAAATTTTGATCTTCTAAGAGCTCTACAATTTTACTGTGAATCAAATTGGGACCAGGTTATTTTTCAGTTTTCATGTTTTTTAATGCGCATTTTATATCTTATATTAGAATGGGTAAATTATTGTCAATGTTTAAACGTCTATTGTTTATTAATTATAAAGTAATATCACATAGAGAAAATATTGAAAGATCAAAGACAATTTTACCAGTCTCTGTAAAGTGTAGATAATAAAAATATAATCAACAATTTATTCTATTGGCATATGGTGTTAATATTCCTACATAATCTGAAATTATTCATAAAGAATGTACAAACTGTATTTGATCTTCACGTTAAATAATTAGTAAATTGTAGAATTACTCTACCATTTAATATACAAAGATTTAATAGAGTCTATCTGGTAATGGTATGTAGCAAAAAGAATGTTTTTTAGAACAGCTAAAAAGTAAAGCTGATATACTAAAAAAGAACTAGGTAAGAATAAAATATGGATTGATTAATAAGCGGAGGTCATATTTTGACCACAGGACATTGTTGGATGCCATCTGAAACTGTGCTCAGATTGACAACGCGTACAATGCCATCAATTTGAAAAGAATAGCGTCGAATCAGTAGAATTTTTCAATCTACTAAACTAGAAAGACTGTGTCAAACATAATACCTTTGGCCCTTTTCCTATAAGAATTCCGTTGGGTGCGAAAAACAAGAAGAAGAACAGCGTCGAAATCTCGGCGTTTTGTCGCATTTAAGTTGAATCAAATATCGGAATATTGCAAAGAGAACTCTTTGACGAAGGTGACTAGATCAGCCAGCAATATGGCTGCCAAGAGCTCCAATCTTGTCGGGTCAGAGCGAGCATGAAAATTGGACAAGACTCGTTGACAAAGATGTTCTAGAATAGAAATAACACCAGAAATGTAACACATACGAGTACAGAGGTCAAATGTACCACAACAGTTGTAGAAAACTTTTGACTAGCAAAAAGACATGGAAAAATAATAAAAACAAGAGGATACCCACAAAAATACGACTGATTTATAGTGTCTCGCCCTTTTAAGGATAAAAATGTGCATCATTCTGCACCCCTTCTAAGGGGTGGGTAGTCAATAGTTCGTAGGGCAACTGCATACCATAAATCAACTCTATTGTAGGGCGCTTTGAAATAATTTCCAAAAATAACAAAAGAAGTCAAATTCTTTGAACAGACTAAATATGTTTAAAGCCAGTTTAATTATGAGATTTTACAGGAAACAATATATTTTAAAGCAAATGAGTTAGAATATATCATCAAATTAGATCATATTGTTGTACAGTAAAAGAAAGTACAAGCATGTAAAAATATGAAAATAAATACGACATACTTTCCCAAACAGGTGGGCTTAAATGTGCTGGCTCAGAGATGCATGCGTATCAATCAGAACATACTTATGTTTTGTAGATTTTGAAAAGGTATTTGATAAAGTTTAACATAAAAAGCAAAAGTATTGACAGTTGTGATATGAAAATTTTATCTTATCCATATTAGGATCAAACTGCCAAGATAAGAGTTGACAATCAGAACACCTGAGATATCAAAATACAGAGAGGAGTCAGCCAGGGTTGTATGCTTTCCCACTACTCTTAATGTCTAAAGTGAAGTGGTATTTAAAGAAGCGCTCAGATTCAATAGAAGGTATATCTATCAATGAAGAAGTTTTGAATATCTTACGTTTTGCAGACGATACAGTAATGATAAAGGATTATAACAATTATTTACAGAACGTAAAGCAACGCCTTTATGAATGCTGTCATGACTACGGAATAAGGATGAATTTAAAGAAAACTAAATGCATGATCATAATTAAATCAGGAGATACAAATATCCAATTAATTGTTAAAGATACTGTAATTAGGATTGTGGATACCTATAAATACTTGGGAATATGGATAACATCAAATGTAGATCAAACCGAAGAAAATAAAACGCGTGTTGAAATAGCACGTGCATCATTTGTTAAACGTAAAAAGGTTTTTTGTTGTCAAGATATAATGGTTAAGACTACGCCTAAGGATGCTTCGGTATTACATGTTCTTTACTCTTCTTTATAGTTTGAAAGCATGGACAAAAAAACCAGTACATCTTAATAAGTTGGGCGCCTTTGGATGTTGGTGTTACAGAAGTATTCTACGAATATCATGGATTTGAAGAATGTTAAACGTAGAAGTACCTAGAAATGAAGTAAATATGGCAAGCAAATGAAACAAAAAGAATATTGACTATGAAAAGAAGTACACTTGAGTACTTAAGGACATGTGATGACAGGACAAAATTATTCATTATTGCAACTTATTGTGCAAGATAAAAATCGAAAATAAAAAATTTAGAAAGACGAAGAATATTATGGCTTAAAACTTACTACAAAGAGAGAATGGTTGGTAATAGAGTAAAACTTTTTAGAGCGGCAGTTAACAGGGTCCTCACAGTCATGATGATTTCCAACCTTCGATAGAAGATGAAACTTAAATAAAGAATAATCGACTAGAAGTGAAACTATTGCTCCTAAGAAATGACAGCCACGTCAGCAGTAATTCTTACTTTTTAGTAATAACGTACCACTTTTAATTTTTACCACATCAATATCTATTCTAAACTTTTCTTATTTTATTTTCAGGTATAGCAAAGTACTGTAAAACCAGTTCAAGAAAAAGTAATAGACGAAATCATCACAAAAAACCTAGAGTATCAGACGAAGAAGAAAATAGCAAGGCTTCGGAAGAAGAAGAAGAGAAATCTAAGTCAAACGATGAGGAGAAAAGTGAAGAAGATAAAGGTTCTGAAGAAGAAGGAAAAGGTTCCGATGAAGAAGAAAAGGGTTCTGATGAAGAAAGTGAGTCTAAAGAAGACAAAGATAGTAAGGAAGATGATGAAAATAAATCGGAAGGTGATGATAATTCAAAGGATGAAGAAGATAGTAAAGACGAGGAAGAAGACGAATCTAAAAATCAGAAAGATTCAGGTGAATTTTTACAATTAAATAAATATAAAACTCCATATCTACTACTTACATCAAATTTACTTTACTTGAGCAGCGAATTTTTAATAGGAATTTAAATCTTTATTTGTTTTCCTTTTTTTTATAATAATATTTATTATTCTAGATATCAAAAGGTAAAATATATGAAACCAAAAATAGATGCCACGGTAGGCTCTTAGAAACCGATGGTAGATCACTGAGTAGTAAAATACTTGAAATTGTCCCATGCTTGTCGTTCAGATTTTATGTTAAATTATAGATTATGAATTAGAGATTTTAAATTTTATTTTGTCTTTGCTGATCTTAATGACAGTTTTCTTTAGGCAGTTCCTCTTTATCTTCGGAGGTAGCCTATAACGGAATCAAGTTCTATAGTTTTTGTATGATTCAGGCTGCGTTATTTCGTTTTCTTGTTTGTTTTGTTTGTTTCTAATTAATTCTTGACCGGCCTGAAAAGAGGAAATATATAGTCAGTTTCTAGAAGAGCACAAGCTATGGTAAATAAATAATAAAATCAAGATGTCGCCCGATACTCTATAAATTATCTCTGTTATGTGCTATGCATATAATGCTATACCAATGTGAAAGGAAGAAGGTAACATTCTAAGTACTCTATCAATTTAATTTAAGAAGAAGAAAGTTTAGTATATTGTCCAATAATGTCCAAAAATCTCATAAAAAAAACAGGTGTGGCAGTCCAGTGGGACTGCCGGTAGAAGTAATACTTCTATACACGCGTTCGCCGTTACAAATTTATATGGAGTCAATCTGCACAATCATTACATATTTAATGTTATAGGTAAGAGAGAGCAGAAAGAGAAAAATTAGGTATATAGGTATATGGTGCATCGTTTGCTGTATATAAACATTTGACCTGTAATAGGATAGATGAAGGACTGTATCAATATTTTAATCAAAATATATATTTTTACTTTCATATATGTATAACAGGAGTAGAATGCAAAAAAAATTTTTTACACATACTCTGCAGTAAAATTCATTGTTTATTTTGTTATTAATATAAAAATTACGATACAATACACTGCAACATAATTCAATATAATAATACAATACAAATTAAAATGCAATATTCATAAGTATTTAAAACTGCCAATATACATAACATACTTTACGAAGATAAAAATAAAAAACGAAACAACTTGGAGTATGTTGTGAATTTTCATTTTATTTTAAAATTTAGCATTTTTGCGTATATTACATATATTTAATAACATTAACATGAGGTTTTTAAATATTTCAGAAATAAAAAAGTAAATTCATATTGGGATTCGAACTCACGTACACCAGCGTATGAACCAAACACGTAAAAGATTTGCCAATTAGACATGATACTAGCGGATTTCAAAATTGACAATTGTTTGTTATACAGTGATTATTTTGAAATACAAAAGCCTAAAATAATTATGAACATTTAATAATATTACAAACTATCACATAAATAATATATGAACATATATTATATATATACAATATTATATATATATATATATATATATATATATATTATATATATATATATATATATATTTATTTATATAGTTAACTTCTTTACGAAACGGCTGAGTTTCAATGATTCGTCATAAAAAGTAAATTTTATCGCAAAACGTAAACAATTCCATTAATTTTACTCACCGATTGATGCCGACGTGTGTTGGGAAATCAAAAAAACTAAGAGCTCTAAAAGATATTGGAGGCAAAATCACTTCCAGTTTTTTATAGAAGCCAGAAAACGTCATGGATGTCGACCACTTTATTTTCAGAATGGTTCGAAAATGAATTCATCCCAAGTGTAAAATCCTGTTTAAAATGAAAAAAACCTTCCCATCAAAACATTATTGCTTGTTGAAAATGCGCCAACTCACCCTTAAAATCTACATAATAGTGATAATTGTCAGATTTTTGCCACCAAATGTAACGAGCTTAATTCAGCTGTTAGACCAGGGAGTAATAGAGATATTCAAGAGACATTTTAGAGCAGCATTCTTAAGACATCTGTTATTACAGGAGATGAATTAATCCAAAAGTGTTCCCGAAATTCTCAAATTTTCAACAATGAAACATGTTGTTTATCGGTGTGCTGAGTTCTGGACCAAGATCAACTCTTCAATTTTGGCAAAATGCTGGAACTAACTTTTTGATTGGATTTTGATTGACGATCCTGAAGAAGAAAATTATAAAGAAACGACAGAAGAAATTAAAACTTATAATAAAAAATTTGCCGGATGTGACGAAATTAACCAAGAAGAGATAAGTGAGTGGTTAGCAGCCGATGATTCAGAAAGTGAACTCATCGACCAGGACATCATTGATACGGTTCTTCGTCCAGACAACCTGAGCGTATTAGACGACGAAGATGACAACTCAACAGACATCAGGCAGCATGAGACCGCCGACGAGATTTTCAATGCGTTAAGGATGAGAATTTTCACTCTCGTGCAAATTTCCAACGCCGACCGTGCGTATAGAAGTATAACTTCAATAATTTACCAAAAAATTTTTACTTCATACTGTCACTAATTCATCACTATATAGACAAAACGTTACAAGGTTATTTTATAACCTATATTGCAGAAACAACTCAATGCAAAAAAAATAACGTATTTGTGGAAACGTGTGAAATGAGGATAGTTAGAGATATCATAGTAAAGCATTAAAACAGGCAAGGTTAAAGACGTTATAGACATCTAGACATTTCAAGAAAATAAGTAATATAAAGAACAGTAATGCTTGGATAACAGACAGAAAAAAGTAGCAGAAAATTCACATAAGCAGAAGTGGAAAGCTACTAGTAAAAAGTATAAGATTACTCATCAACGGACCAAAGAAATATAAAAAGCTCAAAAATAAGGTAGTAAGCTAGATATATAATAATAGGACATAAAACATAAATAACTTTGGTAACTGTATCATATCGCACTAATAGTACAATAGTGTCGTAACTCAAAAAATATGATTTTTCAGAATCAACGAAAAACTAATTAATCATTTCCTATTGCAGGTAAACCAAAAATTAATTCATAATATGTTTCTAATTAATATTAAAGGAAGGTTCTTTGTACTATTATTTAAGTAAAAATACTGACAGTAAAGGTATTTAAAAATTTTAAGTTAACACTATATTGCTCTAAGCAAAATGTTCGAAATTAAATATTATTTTTAGTTATAACATTATTTATGAAATATTTTGTGTTACTACAATTTGATTTACTATTTTTTTCTGCGGTTTACGTTAGTTTTTAAACTTTTAGGAACTGATTCTTGGTATTTGTTAACATTGAATCTAAAGAGACTGTATTACACGTTAACAATTATTACCGAGAATTGTTGTTTTTGATATTAATAAATAAATCAAGGCTTTTTTAATTACGTTTATATTATAATCAAACAAATACAGATACAGATAACAAAATACAGTATTCTTAAACATTTTGTACTTAATCAATATATTTACGTTGTTTGCCGTGTTTTCCGCTTAATTCATCTTGTATTAAACCACACTCTGTTTTTTTGATAGGGCTGTAGCAATTGGTCGACCGTTTATAACAAGAGTATTTTTAAAAAATGTTTTGCCAACTTTTTTGTGATCACTGTTTACTGTAAAATTAAATCCAGTGTTTAGTTTGCAAAAATTTTGTGTTAAAGGATATCTGTATTTGGTTTAATTTCTATAGTATGAATTCTCTTTGTTTTTGCAAATCTCCCAAACTCCAATACTTAATAAAAATATCTTGTCTTGATGTCCCGTTCATTCGTAAACGACAGTTTAACTTGCATTTTTCGCCACAAGTTGGGCCCATTTTCCTTACAGGTACTTATTTTTTGTTCACAGATTCATACGATTATCATTCTCACGATTTATTACGCAGGTTGTAATATTATGTATCCTCTTTTTATCCTTAGTATTATTGTTTTGCTCTTCCGAAGAAACATTTGATTCATTAGTTAACCCAGCAGTTCCATCAAAAGGACTTAAATTATCCACAACTCTATCATCCGAGCTACTTAATGAAGAGCTACTCGTAGAAGATCTACTCAATGAAAAGCTTCTTGAAGAAGAGCTACTTGATGGTTTTATTGTTGGACCTCGAAGCAAACTATAGGTTTTACTTTGCACACCAGAACTGAAATGCGAATCTCGTTCGGAATAATCGGAATCAAAGTCGCCCTTATCTGAGTGCATCGGTGAAATGTAATATTGCCTTTGGTTGGATTCTGTAATAGGTTTAGCATTACTAATCTTACTAAAGAAACTGTTTACGTCAATTTCTTGAAGTACTTGATGACTCGTAAATGTTGAAGGTATAGGTGGTATACTTTCGCAACGTCACTGTTTTCTATTTGGGCACCAGGTTCATTATTTGTACTCTCTAGTGACAATAACGACGGTGAAGAGATTTCCTGCTCGCAATTCTCAGCATTTATTGCCAAAGCAACAAGTAATCGCTCAAGACTCATAAGTATTGAATCTAGAAATGAATCAAGTAATATTATTAGATTAAGTATACAAGTACTTGACGCAAGAATATCACAAAGAGTGTAGTAACTCTAAATTTATAAAATAAAATAGTTGGTAAGCTTTCCCAATAACACTGCTACACATTTTAAATGAGTTATTACTATCTGGTGATCGACAAATAGATCATGATTAATAAATGTTTTACAAACAACAACAAAAATTATTTAAAGTTGTGATTCAACAATAATGTAACATGTCAAAAATAATGAACTGAACCAATAATAGTGTCGTTAGTAAAAATATTAACTTAAAAAGTGCTGGTGTAAATCAGTAATAGTGTAATAACTTTTTTTTGTTTTCTGTACACCGAGCTGGGGATCGAACTCACTTCCTTTGAACCACTCGCAGTGAAGCGAGTGAGGAATCGGCCGCCCAGTCCGCTTGGCTATCTGACCGACTGAATATTATTATTTACTATTTTAAATGGGAATTCAAAAGAATAAACATAAATAATGAAATCTGTCCGTATATTGAGTCAGTTGTGATGCAACCCAAATTACAGATAATGGTGTGATCATCCATCACAGAGATTGTTGTATCAATTACTGCAATATTGCGATTAGGATACTTGGTCCAACGTGTTGATTTCTTTTCAACTTTAAAATCCCGTCTTTGTCCATAATCGTTCCTTTGTTCTGTTTGTTGAATACATAAGGGTAATATTTTTAAATTATATCCCGTTTATTAATTTTCCTCAAACGTTTTCTTTTATACCCCGTTTAAAATGTTTCGTTGTTTCGTCTTCTTACATATTATAAACTGTTGCCATTTTTACAGATTGTCCATCTTAGTTATATTAGTTAACACTATAGAGTATAGGTTTAATATTAAGTTAATACCATGATATTTTATTTGTTACAAAAATTTATTTAGACGAAGAAAAAAAATCCGAAGAAGAGAGTGGAAGTGAGGAAAAAGATTCGAATGACGACGAAGATAAATCTGAAGACAAAAAAGATTCAAACGAAGAAAATTCAGCAGAAAAGTCCAAATCTGAAGAAGAGGAAGATAAATCTGACGGTTCTAAAGAAGACGACGTTGACTGTTCAGTCACGGGTTGGTCTGAGTGGTCTAGTTGCAGCGTCTCTTGTGGTTACGGAACAAAAACTAGGGACAGAAAATTTCTTCACGCCCAGAACGAAGACGAATGTGATAAGGAGCTTCAAGAGAACCGAAGATGTCGAGGTGAAAATGGAAAATGCAGTGAGGAGGTAACTATACTAGCTACACGATTATTTAATGTGATAATGGTAATGTTGAATTTTGCAAAATAATAAAAATTAGAAGTTATTTCCCAAATGTTTCATCTATGAGTCAAATACCCAATTTTGAAAATTGAAATCTGTAATGTGGTTACTTAACATGTTTTACGACCGTACCCTTCCTATATAATATATATATATATATATATATATATATATAATATATATATATATATATATATATATATATATATATATATAATATAAACATATATATATATATATATATATATATATATATATATATATATATATATAATATAAACATATATATATATATATATAATATAAACATATATATATATATATATATATATATATATATATATATATATATATATATATATATATATATATATGTCTTCATATCAAGGCGAGATCCGTTTGTATCATAAGCTATACAAAATGAGATCCGTTTTGCAAGGCGAGATCCGATTTTGGATCTCACCTTGTATTCACGTGTATATAGTGACATCTCGATGTAACAATGATGGGGGTACAAAGAAATCGATTTTTGTCTGGACCTCATTTTGCACCCCTTTTGGTGAATTTTATATTGCAGTAGTTCCACTAAATCCGCTGTAGAGGCAGTGCGAGCGATCCGTTGTGTATATGCTAAATATACATTTTGTAGACAACCCGAGATCCGGTAAATTTGGCAACATCGCAAATGAATTTTACAGTCAGACCTCTCACTCCCTTCGGCTTATTTCCGGTTTGAATAATATTATTTACATTATTAAAGAGCTCTGTCCAGAAAGGCGATTGTCAAATATCTCGAGAACTAGACGTCGTATCGAAAAAACTTAGGAATTCTTTTTTAATGGTTTTTCAAAATCTATATACTTATGCAATAGCGGGGTTCTTATTCTCCCTGCGAACGCGGTGGGTGTAGCAACTTTGAATTTTCAACTGGAACCCTTCATTTTTATTTAAATAAACATTTTGAAATTAGATTAGAACTATTATGGATATAGATATAAAATTAGAATAATTAATTAAATTAGAAATTTAGAGTTGAAAATACACAACTTTTGTGTGAATCTATAATAGCTTCTTTAACCAGTGGGAAGAGCTTCAAAATCGTCGTTTTGATGACATTTTAAGGAGTTAGATGATTTTAAGTAATTTTTTAGATAAAATTATGTAGAACACGTTGGTAAGTACTCGAAGTCTAAAAAATTTCGGAGACATTGTTTATTTGTAGTATTATTTTTTTACAATTTTTCTTCGCATATCTTCTCCACTGTTTGTTTTACAAAAAATGTCAAAAACTTATTTTAATCGCTTTTAAAAGACCTACAAAATAAATCTAACCGCGTTCAATTTGAATGAGAGTTACAAACACAAATCTGTTTTGCATATCATTTATAATTAAGGGACCAACTATGCTGTTCACGTACTATATTAAGATTCCACGGGAATATTTTTCAATATATGTAGTTCATTTATGCTAAACTTGGACACTGTACGTCAAATAGTTTACGAGCTATAGCTTTATAAACAAATTAACTTTATATTTCCTTTAAATTCGTTTACTGAAGAAAATCCAAATTTAGCTATACAGCTCGCACTCCCGTAGGAAAATTCACTCATCCCAGATACCCACGTTATCAAAAGGATTGACCTGTGGGACTCTTTCTGTGTTCGATTCCTAGGTGACTTGGTACATCGGGGTTTGTCCCAAAAATTTGCATACATTATTATCTAGTATTATATAAAGCTTATTAAGGACGTTGTAACGGCGTTAAAATTCAAAAGCTTGTGATATATAAAACATCTAAAATTGTAACGGTTTTTCCCTGGCAGCAAATTTCACGTTCAAGAACAAAGGATAGTAATAAAAACAATTAAATCTATGTACCTATTTCTTAATTATTATCTTGTGTTAGTTATCTTACTCTATGTTAGACTCTTCATTACTATAAAAAGAAGTAACACTCTCTATGGTTAAAATTGTTCAGGTTTATCACCTTTTTTGTAACATTTAACATTGGGCCATAATATATTTACAAGAACCAATGAATTTGATCTCGTTTCCGTTTACATGAGCATTGGAGCCCCTGTACAGTCTGACAATTAGAAAAAAACCAATATAATAATTATTCGTCACAAAAAGGTAAAAATAAACTCATCTTTTACACCTATTAGGAGTATAGTATATGTATGTATGTTTCTTCAACTTGGATTCCGTGCTTAAAACTGGTACCAGCTCTACATTTTCTTTACTCCAGCCAGTTAGCAACAGATTCGGGAGTCAAAGTCTTGGTGTCACACTACATACTCATACCTTCGTTTGGATGAGTATGTACACGAATATTATATATTATACTGTCTGAAGTAGGATAAAGTTTATATGGACCATTACAAAGATTGTTAGTACTGGTCAAATACAAAACCAATCCTTTTAGGGTTGTAGAGGTTCTTGAACACTATTGATTTTAAAATTCTTGCATAGTCGCCAAATGATTTGCAGTTGGAGGGTTTGCCAACGGCTTGGATTAAACTCATACCTTTAAGAATGTGACACTTTTGTTACTTTGTAATGGTAATGGTAGAGATTTAGACATAACTGTAAACTGTCCTATTATAGAACCTAAGGCAGATTTATTTGACGGTATCGATAAAACTCCTACAGGTACAAGTGACATTGGATATGCTGTAAATTCATATTTGAAAATATTCTCATAATATTTATGTTACTTTCAATTGCCTTGGTTGTTAGTATTTTTTATAAAAGCTCTTGATCAGCATGAATAATTTTTTTCTTTTCAGAGACAGTTTTATAGCATTGGAAATGTTAAAAGTACTTCTTGTATGCTGATAAAAATTGGGAGTTCTAACAGTAAGAAGAAATTTTGCTAGGCTCTTCTCCATTTTTTTTTGTATATTTAGTAAGGGTATGTGAACATTTGGCGATGCAATCTTATTAGCTGAAATTACGAGAAGACGATCTACGCTTTGGAAAAATACATTAAATCGTAAAAAACTGATCATGTAGTTTTTGTACAGAATATTTGTCAATTTTCATCCGTTTTTTTTCTATTGTCTACGTTTTGACTTGAGTGGTTGCTTAGGTCTCATGATGCACGAAATTCATCTACCATCATGCCAATCATATTGTAGCTTAACAACCATTCGTCTAGTTTAGTGCTGGTTTTAATCAATCTCACGATTCCTCCTGCATCTTTTGAGTTTGTATTTATATGTTTCAAGCTGGATCTACAAATAGTTGGTTAAAGTTTCTGTTCAAACTTTTCACAACAAAATATTTTTCTCATAAAGTCTTCATGCAATTCTGGAGCCTTATTAGCAAGTTTGTACATGTCCAACAAAGGTAATGTTCCCCAAAAAGAATAGTTCACATGGTCAAATGCAAAGAAGTAGGGGTACATTTTTCTAAAACTAGAACAAAAATGTATTCTCCAGTTTCCGCTTCTTTCAGCAAACGAAAATGGAAATGGACTTTACGGAAAGAAACATGCCGTAATCTGATTTTGACTCAAGTTCACTGTCATACCTGCTGCTGTTCATTAAAATAATTTAAAACTTCTAATATTAAAAATCTCAGCTCAGTGGATTTCGTGCTATTAGTAAAAAATAATGCACAATGATGCACTTTCGCAATCGAATATACAACACAACAGAATTTCAATGTAAAATCGACCCTAACAACATCGCCATTACTAAAGTCGATTTGAGGTTGACTTCAGATTATGAATATTGCCCTTCCTCGCATCTCTGCGTTTGCCACTGTGCGTCGTGACATGCCTTTCGATTTATTCAATTTTTTGTTAAACTATTTATCCAATCGACATTCTAAACAAACCGACATGTTCTCTAATGTTTGGTCTATAAATTTTTATAGAAAGCCATTTTTTGCTAGACCCAATATTTTTCGGGGTAGAGCGAGGAGAAACGATTTTAAAAATATGGGTTTTCAGACTCATTCTAAGTCATTTTGTATGAAGGCACTCGATATACAACAATGGTTTGACGTATTTTTATAAATAAAATAAAAATATTTCTAATGTCCGGATCGATATGCAAATTTGAAGAATGAATTTTCGGATACCGTAGATCCGAAAAAGGACGAAAAACAAATTAGCACTTTTTTGTAAGGCTCCCCACCACTCCCCTCACGCAACGATTTTTGGACGACCAAGTGATTTTGCATTAGAAAGATATTAGAAACGAATAAAAATAGGTTTTGCATTTTAGCAACAAAGTGTCCACCAAAATCTATTCTAGAAGCCTTTTTCCAGTCTATTTACTCTTCAGTATGGAATTGTATTTACTCTTGTACAAAACTAATATTTTTATGTTAAAACACGATTAGAATGTTAAAATGATAGCTTTTGTTATACAGATAAACTGTTTAGTTTAAATAATTTCCCCTTTTTAATTTTGTACATAAATAATAAACAAAAAGAGCTTTGAGAATAGATTTCACAAATTCAATAAAACAGAGCATTTTAGTAATTCGGTTTATAAAGTTTATGTTGAATTATTTAATAATATACATAAAAATTATAATCATTACTTAGCTTCTGTTATCTTTGAATTTTGTTTTACTACTTCAACTGACCGCTGCCCTTGCAATATTTTTAAAATACAAAACACCATAACCGCAAATTACTTTACTGTTTGAGTAGGAAATATGCAATACAACACGAGCTCCGGTCGCTCGACTAATACTCTTTAGAGCTGGCAACAGTGTCTGATCTCGCGTTGATCTGTAAATATCTAAAATTTCGTATATAAGTCTTCCCCTTCCCTTTTCAGCTACGGATCTCATTTTGTTGTAAATTTATCAAAAAAATTTAAGTTCAAAAATCTTTTCCCCTCTAAGTGTGCCATGATTAATATGTTAATTATAAAGATAGTTATGAACAATATACTCCATTAATTAATTTCCTATTGGTGGATCTCGGGTTGTCCTCGATTTAATCGGATCTCGCCTTGATATGAAGACGTATATAATATATATATATATATATAATATATATATATATATATATATATATATATATTTCATAAGTCTTCTTTATTTGCAGAGCGAGTCCAAATGTACAAATACGAATTGGGGTCCATGGTCTAGCTGTAGTGTATCTTGTGGAAAAGGAGTGAAACGAAGACTTCGATTACCACCTGAAGACGACAAAGACAATGATGAAAAAGGCGAAGATGAAGAAAATAGTTGTTCTACTTCTGAGATTGTAAAATGTCACATTCCTTGTAATGATAGTAAGTTAGTAATTAAAAATGATAGTTTAATAAATTTATAAAAGGCAATAACAATTGACGTTTTTAGATATGAAATTAGGAGAAAGTCTAATCGTTGAGCAAGGTCCAGACGGTCGGGTTGTAAACTGCAAAACGACGAGCTGGTCTATATGGAGTAAGTGTGATACTCATGGTTCTCCTTGTGGTAAGGGCTCAAAGAAGAGGTATCGTCAAATAACAGTAAGTTCTTATAAAAAATTGTATAATGTGAAGTATCTGCATCTCCAAATCTTCAGTAGTACTATTAGACAAGGGCCTAAGCCTTTGAAAATGGTAAAAAGTTTTTAAGTGTAAAAAATGGCTTAGCATAACTGTTTGTCATAATTTCCGGCAAAACTACAAGTCCCATGGAAAAAACTTAAATAGGAAATTTATATAATTGATGGATTCGACCGTTACTTGATGGAAATTCATTTTATGTAACAATAAAACACTGAAAACTTTGTTTTCAAACTTCCACAAAATTTATTTTAAATCTTATCACTACAGCTGTTTCGGCTGATTGCCTTTCTCAAGTGATCTATTTTTGGCTTGGGTTTACAAATTTATAGTCTCTAATGAAATAGGTTGAGGAGGGGAGAACTGTTTGTCTCAAGTTGGTCATTCAGAATTATATCTGTGTTTTTTAATTTGTTGATTTCCATAGATTCTAACAAAGATAGCTTAAGGCCTTTATTTTGAATGTGAAGAATTTTAAATTTGTCATTAAAAGAATGATTATGATCTAGAAGGTGAAGTGCGTATGTCGAATCTGTTTTTCTATTCTTGAAAGCCCTTTTATGTTCTGCTATTCGTTTATCAAAGTTTCTACCAGTTTGACCGATGTAAGTTTTTGGGCAGTCGCCACATTGAAGTTTGTACACACCACTATTTAAGTGTTTTTTATTTTGGCTCTTGTTATTTTTAATATATTTGCCTAGGTTGTTATTTGTTCGGAAATCTTGTGTTGATTATTTTGCTTGTATATGTAGATCGAGCAGAAGGTACTGGGTTTTTTCTCTGGTGGTGAAATAATAGAAATTAAATCAAAAACTACACAAGAAAGCCCTGAAATTAGTATTTCCACCACCAGAGAAAAAACCCAGTACCTTCTGCTCGATTACATATACAGGCAAAATAACAACAAAAATTGCCAAACACATAAAAAAGAAAGGAATAACACCAGCTTTCCGAACAAATAACAACCTAGGCAAATATATTAAAAATAACAAGAGCCAAAATAAAAAACACTTAAATAGTGGTGTGTACAAACTTCAATGTGGCGACTGCCCAAAAACTTACATCGGTCAAACTGGTAGAAACTTTGATAAACGAATAGCAGAACATAAAAGGGCTTTCAAGAATAGAAAAACAGATTCGACATACGCACTTCACCTTCTAGATCATAATCATTCTTTTAATGACAAATTTAAAATTCTTCACATTCAAAATAAAGGCCTTAAGCTATCTTTGTTAGAATCTATGGAAATCAACAAATTAAAAAACACAGATATAATTCTGAATGACCAACTTGAGACAAACAGTTCTCCCCTCCTCAACCTATTTCATTAGAGACTATAAATTTGTAAACCCAAGCCAAAAATAGATCACTTGAGAAAGGCAATCAGCCGAAACAGCTGTAGTGATAAGATTTAAAATAAATTTTGTGGAAGTTTGAAAACAAAGTTTTCAGTGTTTTATTGTTACAGGAAATTTATAGATAACAGAAAGTTTACAACTTTGGTATTTTCACTGTTTTTGAGTAAAATAGCCAAAACCGGATCCACATTTTGTTTTTCATTTCATGTGTATGAAAAATTGCAAAAGAAAATGTTATAAAAGTACATACCATATACTTTATAATGTTTTGAATCATTTATATTCAACTTTCATTAATAATAATTAAAAATCACTATAAAAAATATGTATTTTCCGAAATCCAGCGTTTGGAGAGTTCGCAAAATAGTTGTTAATAATTATTTATAAAGTTGTACCATAATGAAAAAGATTGGAAAAAAAAATTGGAAAAATATTGCAACAATTTCCAATATACTACACAAAATATATAAAAATGTTTAGGACAACTATTGATTTATCTACAAAAATCGCAGATTTAGGCATCTTCATCAGCCCCAGCACAACCCACTTGGGCCCACAACGAACACATAATGCACCCAATTGGGGAGACCCAAGTTCTCCTTTACAATCTTCCGAATATTTTCTGTCACAAAATGTGCAAAGATATCTTTTTACTATCTCTTTCCCTTTTCTAGAAGGTCCTGCTACCAGAAAACCTTTTCTGTCACGGTTGATTTTGAAACCTCAGCACATTCTTGCTGTTTAGTTTTTATGGTTACTTTAGCTTTTTTAGATTGTATCAACTTTATCAACAGATCTATAAAGAGAAGATGTGATGATTGTTAAACTGCAAGCTTTCCGGAACCTATTGGCGGTCCTTTTTTGATTTTTGGAATAGGAGTGATCTCAAACGGGCTTATCATAGAGGATTTTGGACTATGAGGATTGTCAAATGTAGATAGTAACACAGAATTAACCTGACCTGCCAAATATGTTGACGGTTGATTCGGGTGAAACTCTGCATTAACTTGTGATTCATCCATCGTTATAACACATTGTTCACTGATCCCTGTAAAGCTTTCATTACTTGCCAATTTTTGCTTTAACATGGATTCGTAGAAAGATGAATCTCGCATTTTGTTTGATTCTTCAATATATTTGACATCAGAAAACAGCTTCTTGTTCAGTAGATATTACTGGCTTTAAACTCATTGATTGCAATTTCAGCTGTTTGACATTTAAGGTATGCTTTGCCAAACAGCTCCATTACATCATAAGCTGTAAGTGGCCGTTCATTGTTTCTTAACCACTGTCCTATTTCTTCACTGTAATAAGTTTTGAGACAACCGATGAAACTTTTGTCCAAAGTTTGAAGTTTGTGTGGGGAGTGAGGTGGTATGGACACAATAGTAACATGGTGTGTTTTGTCAAATCGATCACTTCAATATTTTGAATGTATACTGGCGATCTAAGAGTAACAGCACAAGTTTCTTCTTTGTAGGATGGACAAAGTCGATAAAGTGCTTAAACCATTGAGTGAAGGAGTTGATTTGAATCCAACCTGAAGGATGTACTGCAAAAGTTGTTTTTAATGGAGCTTCTTTTTTCAATTTCTTACTTACATTTTTCTCGGAAAAATTACTAAAGGAGGGACGAATGAGTCAGTGGCATTCATACAAGCAACAATCGATATAAGGGCTCCACGTTCTCTTGATGTCAGGGCAGTAACCTGTCTTTTATGTTTAAGGCCTATAACTTTGGTTATTTTAGACTGCACCACACTGATTTCGTTATAGATTCTATCAGGAGTAAAGTCATTTTTAACGTACAAATTCTCAACAAGAAGTTGATTAAATTTCTGCGCATTTTCCTTTTTGAACCCAAGAGCTCTGTTATAAGATGTTCCTGTGGGCTTTTTTTCTGACAGTTTTGTTTTGTGCCATTTAAGAAATACATTTGCCCACTTTTTACTAACTATTTCTTCTTTGAATGGATGATTAATGCCATTTCTCTGGGCAACAATATTGAACTGGCTCGTCTTCCAGATTTTTGTCCAATATTGTAGGTCTGCCTCTTTTTGTTTGTGCTGGTTCGATAGGCGTACCATACGTATCTTTGCTTAATCTCATCAGTGTTGTCTTCGGCACATTTAATGTTTACTTGCGTTTTTCCACCCCATCTTCTTATTTCGAACTGCATCAAGGGCCTTACTCATTTAAGACGGACTCCACTTTCTTCTTTTTGACGGATTTTGAATCTGTAACAAAATTGCAAATCATAGAAATGTGTACAGTTATATCATGACGGTTTTAAATCTAAAAAATAAGGGATCTGATTTAGGCAACCCTAAATTACTCAGAAAACTTACTCGAAAATTACACTGTCATATGTCGTACGAAAAAGGATCGCTCGCATGTGAAAACACTAAGAATTTTATTAATTGTCATATTACTTTATCTATTATGAGATTTTCTATGGCATAAATGTAATAAAAATTTAATATATTAACTTTTTTACTGAAAAAAAATTTTAAACAGTCAAATTTTTGATAAAATCTCATTTAAATCCTATTAAAAACTATTTTCGCATGTTTTTAACAATGTCTGTTCTAGGAATTTACAGTTTGTTCGTTGATCAATGTAACATGAAAACTTACTTTTTTTCGAGGGATTCTCTCTCTTCAATCCTGACCCCCCAGGGGGAGTGTAGTGGTCGACGTGATGTCGTGTATTGTCCGTCTCCAGAGATCTCTGTCTCTGGTCATTTCTTTTAATTCATGCATAGGTCTTTGGCATATTCCTGTAATTTGATCTATCCATCTTGTTGGGGATCTTCCTCGTGATCTTCGGCCTTCTACCTTTCCTTGTATTATGAGTCTTTCCATGTTTTCTGTGTTTGCTCTCATAACATGCCCAAAATATTTTAATTGTTGGAGATGGACTTTACTAGAGAGTCGTTGGCTAACTTTTAGCTCTCTTAAAATTGAATTATTTGTTCTGCGGTCGGTCCAAGGAATTCGTAACATTCGTCTCCAACAGAACATTTCAGTGGCGTCTATCTTTCTTCTCTCCGATTGTCTCAGAGTCCAAGATTCACATCCGTAGGTCAGTATTGGGAATATTAAGCAGTTGATCAACCTCATCTTTATCGCTCTTGAAATTTGACAGTCCTTCCATATTTTGGTCATTTTTGCTGTGGCAACTTTTGCTAGATCAGATCTACGTTTAATCTCTTCTTGTAATGACCCTGTGTTTGTGATTAATGATCCCAGATATAAGTATGAGCTCACAACCTCGAACCGGTCAATTGTGGTTATGTGTGGATGATTGTTGTGTAGTCTATCCACTATCATGATCTTTGTCTTTGATATGTTTAATTGCAGACCAAATATTTGACTTTCGTTTTCGATCAGTCGTATAAGTTCTATCAGCTCTGCTTGACTATTTGCAAGAAGGGCTGTGTCATCTGCGAAACGTAGGTTGTTTAGTTTATGACCATTTATTGAGATGCCCTTTTCCCATCCTTCAAGTGCTCTTCGCATAATATACTCCCCATATATGTTGAATAATTGTGGAGATAGTATACATCCTTGTCTGACACCCCGTTCTGGATGAAATTCGTTC